TTTCAACTTCCTATTTTGCTGTTGGAACCATCCTTCCCACTGTTATATCCATCATTTAAGAACTGTTGGGTCGTGATGTTCTTGGCAGAAACAACGGTGATTTGCCTTCCTCTGTATTTAAAATTTACTCCTTTAGTCTTTTAATAGAGAGCCTGACCCACAGTTAGTCATGACATTTTAAGGAAACCTAGGATGGCCTTCATGGTTACCGTAGAGACCCAATTAGGTAAACTTATCACCATCATACTTCTCTCAATGCAACCAGTACTATATTTATCATCTTGCCCATATATAGAGATATAGAGAAAATATTTGGATTCAAAACACTAACATAAATATTTTGTCTAGTGGATATCGTCACCTTGTGACCTTTATTTGATAACACTGATAAGTTATCCAAACTAATTTACGTCAAAATCCGGCAAGTAAAGGATATTCCAGTTCTAATTAGTTTTAACCCAAGCTCAAATTATGCTGAAATATCATTCTGGCAGAAAACGTCATCTAGCTAAGGTAGAAAGGCTTAAGACGATTACAATAAGATAATGTTAGATACCTTGAACCATACGCTGTCACCATGGAGCGTGGAATCTAAATAATCAGTAATTTAAAATAATATAATTTATGAAAATGTTTCACGAAATTCAATGTACTTGATGATTTCTCATATCATTTCGTAAATTATTTTGTGTGTTTTAGTGCAAAGCTAAATAATATAATACCTGTACTATGTCCACAATCGAACCCACGATTTCAAAGTCTTAAGTGTGCAAACTTGCTGCTGACCTACTGGTTGATTTTGTAATTTTACTAGATGAAAAAAAAAAAAACACACCAAAAAACAAACTATACTACTTTCAATAGATGATCAGCATCAAATGCTGTAATACACTGGTATCGTATTTTTTTTTTTAAAAAGGCAGTATGATTATAATGTATTTCCACAAAGAACCACTCCGACAGATTTCTTGAATGTTTTACCATCACTTAGCATTTCGATGAATCATACTTCAATTATTTTGCTAATCCCTAAAAATTTGGAACGAAATGATATTTCAAAGTTGCGTATTATTAACTTTACGAAAATTTCTTTATTAGATAATGGAATTTTATACAGCTCAACTGGAAGTATCATAACTTTCGACAAAGCATTGATAACAATTAACTAGGACTAAGAAAAGTAGCAGTAATAGTGTTTAAACCATTTACATGATACATTTGTTTATTTGTATCTTTAAAAAAAGCCACATTAAGTTATCTGCTGTGTCCACCGCGTGGAATAGTTGGGTGGTGCTTTATGGCGCAAAGTAAGGAGGCTATCTGCGCCAAAGAACCGGTAAAAGAAATGAAAGTAAATTAGAGTAAAAATGTAAAATACAGCTAGTTAAAACCGAAATATGTCCACAATGTGGATAAAAGATTTATATACAATTAAAAACACCAATATTGCTTAAAAATTAAAAATACAATGTAATCAGACAGTGTCACCATCGCCAATGACACTGTCCAACGTCAGGGGTAAACTCTTACAAATTACGTGTCTAAAATAGTGCCGCCGCTCATCGTGTCGTAATGACAGCCCGACAGTAAAATATGGGCTATTGTGACTTGAGTGTCACAATGGCTACACATCGGTGTGTCAATACCAGATAAAAGAAAACGATGGGTTAAAAAACTGACCAATTCGTAGCCTTGCCAGGACTACTTCCTCCATCTGATCCTTATGGAAGCAAGACGGCCAAAAGCCAACAGAAGATTTATCTGGAAAAGCTTGTTATGACGTTGCTCACCCCAGGTCGACTGCCAACTAGCGCGAAGTTGCACCTTGAAGACAGGACCGTAGTCTATGTACGGGACAGGCACGGCCGTGACAGCACCAGAGCAGACGGACTTAACTGCGGTGTCAGCGAGCTCATTCCCGTGAATACCGACGTGGCCAGGGATACAGAAAAACTGGATGGAAACAGAAGATAGAGAAAAGTGGGCCAGTCGGTGTTGAAAATCGACGAGAACAAGGTGAGAACTTACGTTAAGCGATTCCAGGGCCAATAGAGAGC